ACCCACAGCCACACCCATACCCACACCCACACCCACACCCACAGCCACACCCACACCCACAGCCACAGCCACAGCCACACCCACACCCACAGCCACACCCTAGTTTTTTTCTCCTTGAAAAGAAGCAGCACAAAGAGCATAGCAAAAGCAGGTAATTATAACAAGATATTTTTATTTATCACTTTATTTTGATCGATCATGAATATCTGAATAATAAGAAGAAAAAAAACGATGTATTGTCGTTGTATATAGAAGCTGCAGCAACTATGAAAGTTCAGCGGAATTAATATTTGTGTTTTTTTCTATACATCATTCGGTAGAGATTGTCGAACGCAATATGAGTATAGACGACTTTTTGATTTTCGAGTGAACATTTTTAGTGAAAATCTAAAAGTTCTACAATTTGAAGAACAGTAAAGAAATAGACACAGTTCAGAAGATACTTTTTTGCAGGTTTTCAGTTTTATTTGTTTTTGCTGAAACTTACTGATGTGGATAGATGATTTTAAGATCATTGTCGTTATACAATTTTTAGTCCATGTGAAGAAACATCAACAATTTTGGCGTTCGCGAAATGTTTGTCGACGAGGAAAGAATGATCTGGCGCTATCGGGAATCATTAATCTAGTGTGATGTTTTATTCGAGAAGATTTGATCAAATTTTATGTTAATACATGTCTCATGGAATAGCGAAGCGGACTACATAAAAGTTTCACAAAGGTATATGTTTCCATAGGAATCGAATTGGTGGTGAGTATGTGTTATTTGGAAATTAATATTCATTGATTGCCTATTTCGGTTGAAAATATTGACCGACTCAGCATATTTTGATAAAAAAATGATAGCCTTGTAACATATCTCGAGTAGAAAGCCATTAATTACATTTTTTCTGAAAGATTTTTAACACCATTAAGTTCATGTTTCACGTTTCAGATTGTTACAGACGAAATCAGTTCTCACAGCAAGAGTCACATAATAGTCTTATTACATACATACAGTTGAAATATCTCGATATATAAAAGCAATACAACTTACAGTTGCACCAACAAGTATTTGATCATAGCGTATTTCATACAGCTTGGAGGATTATCAGAGTCAGACCTCCATATCCTTTCTTATATGAAAACCGTTTTTTGTGCACCATAGTAATTCATGTATCTTGTTATCTAACAGATGCTATTTCAAGTTCATTTCGATCGATTAGAGAGTTGCCTTTCGTTGTTGAGTGAAGATCAAAATGCATACAAAACGTATCAAAGTTAAATAGCAGAGAAAAAAAAACGATGATACAAAATAATGTACTTCTAAGGGTGTGGGTGTGGATGTGATTGAGTGTAGGTATGGGTGTCGGTCGTGTTTTTAATTCATCTGACACCGGTGCCTACACCCACATCACACCCACATCCACTTCATCCACACCGACACCCACAAGCACTTTGTCTTTAGTAATGTATTTCATTACTAATTGATGCACATTTATTGAAGATTAAAAGGTATTATTTTTATAAAATAGAATAAAGTAAAAGTTTAATTCAAATGAGTTTTCGAAACACTTCCAATGCTACATTTTGACCAAGAGTCTTTCCTTTTTCAACATCGCAACGCCAGTGTACACCTAAATAAATTCGACTAATAGCATTTTCCGTTTCGGCTGCTGTTAATGACCGATAACTTCGAGTCAGCGCTGGTCGTACTAGTCCAGTGTTTGAATCCCTGGTTTTTCCATTATATTCATCTGATTGAAATTGAAAATGAATATCATCTCTGTTGTAAAATAGTCGAAGTATGTGAAAAGTAGCCGAGCCAAAGGCTGCATGGCCAGATACATAGGCTGGAAAAGGAGGTGTAAAATCTGTACCAGTACCATCAGCTGGTGCTCCTAATGGTATCCAGTTACGATCAGCATCATTTATGTTTGGTGCCTCACGAATACCAACAATTGGACGCCAAAAAGCATAGTGATACTTCGCTTCCCATGCGGCTATCCCCGCATCACACATAGCATAATTGACAAGGGCAAATAATCGAGCATTCTGTTCAAGTGTATTCCCTTGCTGGATGGCGATAATGCGAACGATTTGATTATAAAGACGGGGAGGTGTACCCAACTTCGGTGCTCCATCATAACCCCATGCAATACCGGTTTGAGTTTGATCATCCGAGCGGTATGTACTATTTTTTGATCCGTACGTTTTCACTTCATTCAACTCAGTTCTGTACAACAATGAATTCAAATAATACATACGAGCCGAAGATGTAATACCGACAATGTCCGGAGGACGATATTGTGATGCAGAGTCCAGGAAAAATGGTTTTACTAGTCCCCAGTGAACACCTAAAAAGCCTTGTCCTGTATGAAGCGGATCAACTTTATGATAACCGGACTGCATTTGAGGAATATATACAGCGTTACCAGAACTACCATCGAATTTTCGATTTTCGAGGATATAAGAGCTGGTTAACTGACCAACACTAAGACCAATGTTTATATCGTTTTGTGAACTAGTTTCGTTTCTGATTCTATACAAATGAGCTCGATAGACGGCATCGAATATAGGACGCTGTTGTGGATACAAGAATGACAATGTTTGATAGGCAGCTTCTATAATAGATGCAATGAATCCATTTTGTTTGCCACTAGAATCGTTAGTTGAAGGTCGGCTTCCTTCTGTAACACGTTGATAAGTTCGATCGAAATTTTTCATCGCATCATACATGGCACCATGAATGATAGCAAAGGCACGTGCAGTTGCTGCTGGGCCATCTTGATCAGGTCTGAAAGCTACAGCTTTATCATAATCATTTGCACAGGCTTGCAGCATGACTTGATTCCAAAAAAGAATGGCATCTGGTGACGTTAATCGCAGTTCATCCTGAAGGGTATCAATATGATTCTGCAAGATAATATTACGCTTGGTAAGAGCATAACTTGTAGCAATCATTGCAGTGACGAAGAAGAAGAGTGATTGCTTCATATTGCAACTCGTTTTTTATTATTGAATAGAATCCTTTTGGTTTCGACTATATAAACATTACCGATCTGTCAATAAATAATATGGGTGCAGGCCCAAAGTAAAGCTATCTCAAAACATATCAATAACTTCGGCAATTTATGATATATGATTACGTGAAAGAAGGAAGTACACTATATACATACAGCTGCACTTATATCGCCTACAAACGATACTTCCATTATTCTAGTGTGTTATGTATCCTGATGGATCAAGTTTCTCTATGTAACTAAAGACTTCTCACGTCAATCCTGTTTCTCCTTTTGCATGATATTAGGCAAATAACAACACATGTAATTACCATCATACGTTATATCCAACAAAGAATACTTTTGATTATGAAAGTGATGTGTGACGAACGGTTATGGAAAACTTCCATTGAAGTTAATCAGAACTACATTGCTTTTTTCAAAGCTGAACGCTACATTTGAATTATTTTTCTCCTCCTAAAACCCTGAACTTGGAACCACTCAAGTGAAATTGAAAATTAATTCAACAGGAAAAAACTCGAAGCTGTTCCATGTCTGAAAGCTGATATTCCTAAAGCAAACACGCCAAGGTGGAAAAATAGCTTCTATTTCAACCGATACAAACATACATTGAAGAGTATCGAGTGCGAGTGTCGATGGAGACCTGAGTTTCATCTTCACCCCCGGCGACACTATATTCCAGAAAAATTTCTGAGCTACTTTTCGGAAATTATTGTCCAGACTACCTCAAAAACAGTTGACTGAGTAGTAAGACAATGTTCGTCCTCATGTGTAAGCTTCGATACTAGGCTATTTAAAAAAAAACGCTATCTTGCATGAATATTCCAGCCAATAAATAGCTCAGAATTAAATATACTATGAATAATTGATCTATTCTTGATAATAAACTACTAAATTTTGTCATTAACGCTTTGGTTACGGGAGTATCATATATGATACCTGTTTAGTATCTTTGATATATGTACAGGGTGGGAAATAATATTTTGCAAGGAGAGTACCGCTATAATTTCAAATAGAAAACAGAATGAGTTTTAAATCAAATGAAAGCTTGTCAAAAATGGGTTTTATTGATACTAAATAGTAAGGATTATAAACACTTTTTAATATCGAACTTAAGAAGCTTTGAGAGATTTTACACTTTTTTTGCGGTGGAAAAGTAAAGTGCCAGTAATTGAAAAATGAATTAAAACGTTTTTCTTGGATATTTTTATATGGTTCGATAGAGCTCCTCGAGCTCTACAAAACTGTATATACTAAAAAATTTTCAAACCGAGTTCTTGGATTAAAATTCACTGAAAACTGTCTAAAGAATGTACCGAAAAATCCTCACTTTTTACACTTTTTATAGAGAAAAAAAGTGGTCCTTTTTACACTAAATTCAGCTGTTTTTCATTAGTATCCTTAAGTAAAATGTTTAAAAATATACTCATTTGATGCAGCGTGAAAAACTGCATCGAATGAATATATTTCGAAACATCTGAGGAAATAAAAATAATGGGAAAAAAGGAAATTTTATTGAAAATTCGAGTGTTTTTCTTCCAAATCAAAAATATGACATTTTAAACATTTTTTAACATTTTCCAAATAGTTTTTTGAAATTTTTATCAAAAGAAAAAGACTCAAAAATTTTTTAATATACAGTCAATGTCCCTAATAAGAACACTAAAAAAACAACATGTCTTGTTTGATTTGGTGCATTGCCATTTTACACTCAAATCAAAATATTTTTAGACATGCATGATCTTGGAAGTGTCCTCTTTCGAATGATATAAGAACCATTTTTATCTGACACGTAGTCGTGGAGAAATCAGCGCCAAACGAAAATAACCTGCGTCTGTTGTTATTAGGGTCCATTTCCCTAATAACAACAGTCAGCTAATTTTTGACCCTAATAACAACACTGTAATAAAATGCAAGCAAAAGTGTACTTTTTGATAAAAAAGTATTTTTTCACGGTTTCTGATCGGAAATCAGGCAAAGGTCCCATTAGCATTTTTGTAGAGTGAAATGAGCTCTATCTATATCTAAAGGTTCACAATGAATAAATTTTCACTTATTAAGATAGAAAACTTGAATAGAGAGGATCCAGCATTGATCGAAAACCAAGTGACCCTAATAACAACATTAAGCCAATTTTTGACCCTAATAACAACACTAACGAGAGAACATATCCAACTGATTCCGAGCTTTTGTCTTCATCTTTTGGATATAGGTAGGCCTCAGTGAGACTAAAAAAAACCCAGAAGGGTTCGTCCCCATGGCTCGTCGTTCCCGAGATATGACCAAAAATATATCGTTAAAAAAGGACTTTTTGATTTTCGAAGCTTTTTTGTTTAAATAGCTCTGTATTAGTCTTTATACAGATAGCTGAAGTAGTTGCTACTGTACAGTAATTTTTCACACATAATTCTGTTGAAATGCTGAAGATCAAATTATAGTTATTTAAGGAGACCCCCTTTCCCAAGCCTAAAATTTTTTTTTAGATTTTTTTTTTTTTTTTATATACAGGTGTATCAAGGTCCCCTTTAGGTGTGCTATAAAAACTAGAACCATCCAAGGTCGGGAAGTCTCTGAAAAACCAGGTTTTCTGGAGACATGCGACAAATTTTTTTTTTTTAATGTAACGTTATATTATGATGTACGTAGTATATCTATACTATAAGCGAAAAAAAAAAATTTTCTACAAGTTTTTTTTCATTTTTCATTTTTCTCCAAACTAGTTTTTTGGGTATCAAAAACCAGTTTTCCCCCTTTTTCTCCACCATTTCAAGTCCGATCCGACTGAAAATTTTTTTGGTGAGGCTTCAAGCAATTTGGGTTGGCCGTTTGTTTTTTTTTTTGATACCTTCCACCAATCAACTTTGACAGGCTTCGCAAAATTTTTACGATGCAAAAAATCTAGAGATTTTGCGAAGTGCTCAGTATTTTGGTTCTCCAGCCTGAAGTATTTGGAATTTTTGAAAAAAAAAAACGGCCATCCAGATTGTGTCCGTCTACCCACAGTAAAAATTTCAACTCAAACGGATGAAATCTGTGGATTTGCGGGTGGGAAAACTTTTTGCAAGTTTTTGACTTTGGGGTCTCTGGAAGTCCATGAATATGGCGTCTGGCAAAGTTATGTCTATGACAACTTCTGCTCTACTACTCGAGGTCTATCTACCCTGCAAGTTTCAGGAATTTTCGTTTGGCCGTTTCTTAGAAACGCCGGAGAGGGGGGAGTCCCCTTAAGACTTGCTGACATGTGTTGTTCTAGAGAAAGTAAGAGAAACAGATAACAGAGAAAAATGACCGTCGATATTTGTTGACCACGTGTATCATATCGATATCAGGGAAAAACATTTAATGTATACAATATAATATAACGGACTTTTCATTTTGTTTAAACAAATGATTGAAGCAGCTGATATCGTAGCTATGCTATCTGAGCGAGTCTCAAAAAGAGATACTTATCAACCAAAAGGAAATAAACAAATTCAAGAACTCATCGAGTATCTTTATGAAACTATCCAGACTTTATTGTCTACCTCATCGTTCGAAATTTACGATGAATCTACACTTGATCAAATCGATTAATCGGATGATTTCTCAGGAAATGAGTCTCAAGAAAGTGAAGACAATCAAGGGTTAGAATCCGAAGAAGAAATAGAAAATAATGAAGAACAAATAGACTCAACAGAAGAAGAAGAAAATGATGATAAATAACAAACACGCAAGTTTTCTCTTGATTACATGAAAGAAGTGTTGGATTATTATGATGAAGTCGACCAGAATGGAAAACGTAAACATAGCTGGAAAAATGTTAGTCATCGATTTACTCGAATTCCTCACAGACAATATATCGTTCGCTTTTGCGATTATGTTAGCCATCATGGATCAAAAACAACAAAAAGTACACGAAATCGATTCATATCTTTTTACGATGCTCAAAAACGCTCGTGATCGATCATTATGTATTCATGATGCAGATTTACAACGATGGGCTATTGCGAAGGCTCGATAACAATCAATGTATGAATTTGTTGCTTCCAATTTTTGAGTTTATAATTTCAAGCACAAACATAGTATCGTTTCTCGCAAGATTTCTAAAGTTATTAACAGCCAATCACTAAGAAATGCTGATGAAATTGATAGTACAGCTGAAGACTTTGTCAACGCTGCTCGAGCAGAGATGAAGAACTATTCATCGAGTGAAATTTTTAATACAGATCAAGTTAATTTGGTGAAAGAATTTCGAAGCAATTGCACGCTAACTTTTAAAGGCGAAAAGATAACAGCTGGTTCGGTAACATCCAAGAATGCAAGTACTCACTCTTATACTATTCAGCCTCTTATTAATATGGAAGGAAAAGTATCCGAACCTCTGTTTTTATGTCTTCAGGAAACTACTGCTCGAATTAGTGAAGGTAAATTTTAAATCTTTAATCTCCTTAAGTTTGAACTTGACTAAAATTCAGATATACAATCTCGAGTGTTCCAAGCTGATAATGTTGTCGTTACGTGTTCAAAATCTGGAAAATTAACTAGTTCTCATGTTAGTTATTGAGTGGATCAAGTTCTTATTCCCAATACATCCGAAAAGAGTCTTCTTTTAGAATCGTGGTCAGGACAAAATGATGGTCGAATTTATAAGAAAGTCAAAGGTTTAAAACAATTACAGATACCAGATAAAACGACGGACAAAATACATCGCCTAGACATGTATTTCAACCAACAGATGAAAGGCATTATTCGCCGTATATACGATCGGATTGCACTTGACCAATTGGATATTCAAATGTCGAATCGAAACAGTATCATAAATTTAGTATCACTAGTTTATTCTCAAATGGCTGCACCTCTCTTTCGTGAAATGATTCAATACAGTTGGTATACCAGTGGATATATCGAGGCTCATCCTGGTAATTTTTTCAATATTATCGAAGCATGTTTCTCTTTCGGTTC